AGAGAGAGAGAGAGGAAGAGAGAAAAAGCACTGCAACGGTATTGAATTCCTCGATAGAGGGACATCCAACATTTCTCGCGTCGCAACTTCGGTATTTATGTCGGTTTGCTCATTCCGCGCATTCCGCGCACTCCGGAATATCCTAATTCGCGATGATCGACCGATTTAAAGATTTCCTCGACTCGATTCAGGATAAACGTAAACTACAGCGTTTCGCTACAGGCGTCGCCGAGGACAGGTTCGACAATCATGAGAAATTCAATTGCAACTTCTCTCGCCAGATTAATTCAACGGATTCCGCTTGATTGAAAATTGATGCCCGGAACGTTGTATCTCTCGTTTGCCGCGACTCGAGAATACGCTGGATTATAATCCGGAGAAATGGGACGTCGCGCAATCATCTCGCGCCTGCCTTTTAACGCGCTGACCGAACGTCAACTCGAACCGTCGGGAAGAAGTGGCCATTCGTTTTAGATCTGCCGTTTTCACGAGATCGAGGCTACCCGATCGATTCATCATCCTAACGTACGGGGAACGTTCCGCGTGTTGCGGATTAGCAAATATGCCTAATGAGCTCGATATGATCGATAGCGTCGCTATTTTGCGCTCACGGTGGGAAATCGTTCGGCAGATGCGGGAGAGCATTAAGGTCATGACTGTCCGAATCCGAGTCCGATGATTAGGAGGCCGAAAATTATACGCTTTATGTCGCTTTACGTCCAAGGCGGCCGGGGGGGAGGCACCGGGCGTCCAGAAACTTCGACTTTCACGGCAACGAAAAAAGGCGCTGCACGGCGCTAATTAACGTGCTCAGGAACCGCTTTCTGGGCTTATATTGACGAGTCCGTGATAGTTATACATTGATGTAACCGTGCCGTGCCGGCTAATGAGATGAAATGTGATCGCCTTTCTCTCGTTAAACGCTCCGGTAAAATAAAATCACGTATCGCCGTCGCGGTAACGTCGATACTGATAAATGATGGCGTATCGAGCCACGAACGAGACGGACAACGGCGATAATATGCTCGCCTGCATTCTTGTGCGGCGATATATCTCTTGTTACGTAATTCCCTCGTATCTGCGGAGTATCGGGTGTACAGTTATAAATGTATATTATTTACATCTCGAGAAGGCAGGCGAGAAGCGCACTGCAAATATTCGAGATTGTGGAAATGTTTATGCGCATTTGTTGTTCCAAAGAGTATTACGAAAAATGAAATCATTATTAATTAGAAAATGCGGAGAGATGAAATAATTTTTTAATCCAAAAAAGACTAATATATTATTATGCTATTGATAGTATACTACTAATATAATAGGATAAGTAATCTCTTCTTTCTGCATAGAGAGATTTGTTGAAAAAACGCTTGTGACTGTTCCTTCAAAGTTGTTCGTAGCGAAGAGCGAAAAAAAAAAACATCTGTGGCAATTATTAAAACATTTTTTTCCGTTCCTACATAACGTAAAAAGTGCAAAGTAGTTTT